ATTTATCACATAACTTATATAGAAAGAGTTCAACATATTATCTAAGATTTGAATATTACTTCCCTTCTACGAGTATGCTCTCTCATTTCAAACCCAGTTGGCATTGCCTACCTAACTGAAGTTTGTAACGACACGCAGGATTACCTTTCGGGGTAGTGCCTGTCGCTCTCCAAAATGATGTCGGAATTTACCTTGGGATGCAACGATGGATCTTTGGCTTCTACTGCGTATGCAATTTCTTTTGGAGTTCACGACATTATGAGGGCTCAAGAGATATCAGTTACCCGTAGAAAATAGCAAAATCTTAGATAATATGTTGAACTCGTGTATATCAGTTATGGAATAAATATATTTGGTACTCTATGTATAATCTAAAATACTTGCATTTAAAATGTGTCCAATCATTATAGGACACCCTATGTGCTCACGTGGCCTGACGATTGCATATAACATGAAACAGACTGTCGCCTTTAAGTGTTGACTTCTATGTTCACTTTTATATTTACACACGCTCTATCTCTGATATTGAGCACTTTATCCCATAAATATAGCACACCTTAAGACTATATTTCTTCATATATATATATATATATATATATATATATATATCCTAGGAAAGATTTTGGTTTATGTTTTGATTTTAAACGGACATGCTTTAATAAAAGATTAGGAAGGAAACACGTGTCAATACTGAAAAGAGCAATAACAGCTACTGAACTAAAAAAACAACTCCGATCCAGATATAGCAGCAATACTCTATATTTACTCTGATCTGGCTCTTGTAGAGATAAAGCATGCTAGGAGGGTTCAGGTACATTCTGGGGCGATACAGGTAGCCGACCATTTATTCAGCTTCTTTAGCGATTGACCGTGTATACAAGTTACACTTGAGGTCTGGTATAAGCAATAGACATTGCAGGCAAGGAGTCCAATCGTTCATGATTTGAATTTTTCTTGGGAAGCAGCGAGGGTTCTTTGGCTTCCACAGCGTATGCAATTTCTTTTGGAATTCACGACATTATTAGGGACCAAAAGATATCAGTTATCCGTAGAAAATAGCAAAATCTTAGAAAATATGTTGCACTCGTCTATATAAGCAATGTAATAAATACATTTGTTACTCTATATCATTTTTATAATCTAATATACTTCTTTGTACCATCATTATGGGAGACCCAATATTTTGTAATGATTGAACTAAAAGACTTTACACTGATTGCACGTAATGTGGATAATTGAAACAGCATTTAGTGATTCCGCGGATGCTGAGGTGCTACTGTATCTCGCTAGAAGCACATTCAGCCTCTTATAAATGCAATCTTAAAATACAATTCCGTGTTGATCCCATTTGATGTAGAGACTGTACAACTCGCCCAACAGAAATATATTTGATTTAATCAGCAAACTATCTATGAAAATGACATTAATTAGACAAAAAATATTTAAGTACTGAAAAAATATGACACACAGAAATCGAAACGTACGCATAGCAAAAATTGCATTCTAGAAACTAAGCAAAGTATTAAGAGATAGGAAAATATCGTTAGAAACAAAGAAAAGAGTGTGCTAAACTGCTATGTAATATCTAAGCTCCAATATGGCGGTGAATGGTGGACAATCACCTTATACCTTTCAGAAAGTAAGAAAAGTATTAAGAGACAGGAAAATGTCGTTGGAAACAAAGAAAAAATTGCTGATCTGCTATGCAATGTCTAATTTCTTATATGGCAGTCAATATTGGACCTCATGCCTTTCAGAAAGTAAGCAATGTATTAAGAGATAGGAAAATGTCGTCAGAAACAAAGAAAAGAGTGTTGAACTGCTATGTAATATCTAATCTCCTATATGGCAGAGAATACTGGACAATCCCCGTGTCTTTCAGAAAGAAAGCAAAGTATAAAGAGATAGGAAAATGTTGGAAGAAAGTGCTGAACTTCTATGTAATGTCTAATTTCCTACATGTCACTGAATGTTGGACAATCTCTTCATACCATGCTGAAACTAAGCAAAGTATTACGTAACAGAAAAAGTTCGTTAGAAACAAACCAAAAAATTGCTGAACTGCTATGTAATATCTCAGCAAAGAAACTATGCAAAATATTAAGAGATTAGAAAATGTTAAAAACCAAGAAAAATGCTATGTAATATTTAATCTCCTATATGGCAGTGAATAATGGGCAATCTACTCATTCCTTTGAGAAACTAAGCAAAGTATTAATAGATGGGAAAATATCATTAGAAACAAAGGGTGCTGCGCTGTTATGTAATTCATGAAAATTCCATGGACGGAGCGAGTAAGCAACAAGGAAATCTGAAAGAAAATTGCAACAGAAAGAACGCTCCTACTAAATATCAGGAAAAGACAACTAAAATTCCTTGGAGACATAACAAAGAAGGAAGACTTGGAAAACTTAACTCTCACAGAGAGAAAGACAGATAAGGGAAGGCAGCCTGCCACTTAACTGACGAGCTTCGGTGAATAGGCGACAGAACGGGGGAGGAGGCCCTAGCAAAGGAAGAGAGGCTACTAAAAGCCGAACCAGATAGAAAGTTGTGGAGAGCTACGATGGCCCATATCCTGAAGGGACGCGGTGGCGATAAAAATGAAGAATTTTTTTCAGATTTGAAATAAATATTTTTTGTTAATTCTGATCGGACATAAGCGTGGATAATAAAAACTGTGTCTGACGATTCCCAGGATATTGAGGTGCTACTGTATCTCGCGAGAAGTGAATGCAACCATTTATAAACTCAATGAAACTTGGGTGTGTATTAAAAAGATCAGAGTTCAGATTGAAAAAAAAAAAAAAAAAAACGACATTAGCGTTCTTGCCGATTTAGCACTCGGATTTTAGCTATATGGCGTGTGTCGTTTGGGCTTAATAATCAAAGACCTCTTTCTTGATTGCGCCAATTATCCTTTGTTTGGACCCGAACTCGTCTCCGATATCGCTTTGTTTCACATTAATAGTCAGGTCGAATGAGAACGGGAGAAAAATAGAGATCTCAAATAACAACAGAAAAAAATAAAGCTGTTTTTTTTTTTCTTTTAAGATAATGACTTGGATGGATTCTTTATAGATCACGGAGTTTGTAACACTGTTCTTTCATTGGCTGTTTCCTTCTAGCGATATTGATTGGTGGAAAAATGTTTGCCAAGGGTAATGACTAAAACGTTTTTTCATAAAACCTTAATATTGAAGTTTTAGGGAAAAAAATAGAATGTCTCACAGCGCGCTTTGCAAAGATTGAAAATATCAAAACTAACAACGAACAATTCTTGTTAAAATTTAAGTTAGTACCAAGTGGTTATTAGTGTTTCTTAACCCTTTTTTTTACTTAAAGGTGCACTTGTAGAATAACAAAATATCTGGGATGCGCTTTAAATTTAAATAAGGAAAAATTAGTCACAAAATTTGAAAATATGAAATTTTGGTTTCGCATTTCTAAATAAGATTAGCGGTAAGTTTCATTTAAATCAAGGGTCGGCAACTTACGGCCCGCGAGCCGGATCCGGCCCGTGAAGGCATTTTGATCGGCCCGCGAGCCTGATTACCAATGATTCTATTTTTAACATGAGAGACGAGGCTTTCGAATTAGACTATCTGTCAGTTATCTTTCATGAGACTTATTTTACCAAGTTGCGTTGCCTACGTTTAATGTCAAATAATGGATACATATTTGTTATGACCCTTGGCTACATTAAAAGATAACAGAAGCGAAAGGAACGATAAAGTGAAAGAGGCCAGGGAGGGACTGACATGCGAGGTAGCAGAAATCTAAAGACAGTTAAACATACGCGCATTATACATACATGCCTCATGAATGTGTGGATGATACCGCATATGTACGTAGGTAAGTGTATATGTTTGCAACTATTTGTACTCGTATGTATGGGTATATGTGCTTCGTTTTTGTTTGATGTGTGTGTGTGTGGTTCGTTTGTGGAACAATTTTCAATAATAGTTTCAAACCTACACGTCATAATTTCATCCATTTCACTTCGGTTGAATAGGTGAAGCGCTCGATGGTAGCTTTGTTATCAGATCGGCTGTCTTAGATATCTCAAAGGCCTTTGGCAAAGTGTGAGAGAGGGGTTTACTACATAAATTCTACGGCTATGACATCTCTGGAAAAGTTTACGCAATAATCAAGTCCCTTATCTCGGATAAGTCAATAAAGGTTATTGTAAATATTCAGTCTTCTAAAACTTCTGGGATCAACACAAGTGTCGTCACCCAAGTCTCTCTCTCCTCGGTCCCACTCCCTGTTTGTTTTTTCTTTTATTAACACTTTAACTAGGAGTATTATAATAATAATAGCACAGACTATGTGCCGCTTCTGCTGCTAAATCTCATGCTACGAAGGCGTTGAGCACACGAGAGCCATCTGGTCTCTCCAGCTCTCACAGTCTTGGCAGAGCGTCGGAACATTCGCCAGCGCCGGATTGATCTGTTGGGGGTCCCGGAGGATGATGTTCTTCCAGCGGCTGCGTGGACTTGCAGATGGCGAGTCGAACTGGTAGAGCGCAGGACGTAATCGAGTCAGCAAACGGAACACTGAGCGATGGTGGAGGAAGCATTCTTTCCGTGGTCAGTTTCACAACGCAACAGTTTTGGGGAGGAAGCTGTCTGAGTGAAACTTCTTCCTTACTAATGGAATACGAAGAGAATTAAGATGAGTCGGTCCTATGTATTTGGCATGGCGGGTCCTAGCTGTGAAGGTCTGAGTTGATGGAACTAATGAAGGTCGCTGTGGGAAAGGGTGTGTGAGCTGGGAAATAATTCATCACCAAGCCATGGCTGGCGAAAAGATCGGTTAAAATTTGGTTTTATAAACAGCGAGCATAAAAAGTGTTCCTGGTGGACGATGTCCTTCTAGTGACTGCATGTTCTGCCGCGAGGTCGTCTCCAGTTGGTAGATGGCGCTTCGGACTGGTAGATGACTCTGGTAAGGTGGCTATCAGGTCGTCGCAGGACCTGACCGAGCCAGGGAACCACCTTGCCGACTCCAGCTATCACGGACTTGTATCGTATAACTGCCAGAAGATATGATGCTTGTTTGTCAGTAAAAGACGCAACTGAAGCTGTGAGATATGTCCGAGGGAAGTGCAGTACATACGACGGTAAATCTGAATCAACACCCAAGAAGATGTTTCCCAATCACGACAAGCTTAACCTGCTCAAGTTTAGGGTTAAACATATCCCATAAATTGTACCGCGTACTTGTAAATTCTCGAGTGGCTCCCGCGCATTATACAGGGTGAACATCACTGTAGATAAGAAAAAAAAAATCTGGAGAAGAGATCAGTCATGATTTTATTAAAAGCAACAAGGATAAAAAAAGAGTTTCATGTTTCTGAATAATTTTGGATTAATTGGTCTTAAAAGTGATTCATGTTTTAGCCTCGTTACAAACTTATTTGATATTAGTAAATATTTATGGCCAGATATTTGTGGTGATTTTAATTGTCTCCTTACGAGTGTCAACGTGGCACAATGTCAATTAAATGTTGCTGCTTCTATTAAAACTTATGTCATGAAGGCGTTGAGTACACGAGAGCCATCTTGTCCAGCTATCACGGTCTTGGTAGAGCGTCGGAACATCCTCCAGCGCTAGATTAATCTGCTGGAGGTCTTGGAGGACGTCGTCGTCCCAGCGGCTGCGTGGCCTATCGCGAGGTCGTCGCCAGTCCGTAGATGGCGAGTCTCTGTTGAGTATTGTAACAACAGAAAAAATCACCTAGTCGGGTTGTTAGCACCACCCAGGTGCCGGAGTTGTCACCTTCGCAACCAACCATGCGGTATCCTAGCCTGAGGACATGGAAGAGGTGCCAATGGTTCAAGATGGGCTGATGTGATTGCCCTTCACCAGTCGAAGAACCCCTGACTAGCTACTTGCACGTAATTTGGCCGGCAGGTCGATGCCAGGGTGTGGCCGGCGTCATGTCAAAGGCTTCATAGAGCCATACAGGAGGAATTGATAAGGCAGATAGGACGGTGAAACTAACCCCCTTAGTAAAAAGGGTATGACCGTCGATCAGTAAGAGTATTACCACTACTCTGCCATAGAACACATACATAGGCGCACTTCGCCCTTCCCACCCCTAAAATATATAAATGTTCGGAGCCTTGTAGCTGATATTTTCTCTGACCTTTGCAAATAGGGTACGTCATGCCACTTCCATGGAGTCGAATCACCCTCAGTTCCTCTTTGTTCCAAATGTATAAAGAAAGTTATTTTCTTACCGAAACTACGGTTTTGGAGGAACAGGCTTCAGCAGAGGTGCTTCCCCAACAGTTCAATGTTAATTTCTTCGAGCCAAGCGCCAATGGTTATCTATCTTCCTTATCCTTCTGACACTTTTCTCCCCGAAACTGCCACTTTGGTGAAAACAAACTCCTGTGTGGCTGCTTCCCGAACACTTCGATTTTAATCTCTTCGTTATCTATCCTTCTTATCCTCATAATCTCCGCCATCTGCCACTTTCTCTTCTCTTGTATCATACGCCAAATTCAGCATTATCATCTTGACTGTAAGCCTCTATTATTGTTATATAGGAATAAAGTGTCGCTGACGACACTTGAGTTTGAACATAGATCGACAGTAAGCAAACACAGGCGATCCCATTATTGAATTAAGTAGACCATATGACGATAGAAGAAATGCATAAGTAGGAAATCGTGTGACGTCTAACTGATCGCAATTTCTTCTCTATCCTCTATTAGTATTCGGATCACCATTTCTAGTCTATCCTCTTTTACTATACGGACCGCTATTCTCTACTCTATTCACTATACTATTTCTCTATTCGGATCACTATACGGATTACTATATGAGCGAGTATTATCGAGCAAGTACTATTAGTGTGAGTGTTATTCGAAGGCGTCTTACACCAGTATTGTCCAACGGCGTCAGTATAGTTGTATCTGCGATTACAAAGTCTCTACTACAACGAGCGTTACGAAAGCGACAACGAGTATTCATTGACATCACAAAAGTGCCAACGAGTGTTCGTTGACATCACAAAAGTGCCAACGAGTGTTCGTTGACATCACAAAAATTATGAATAGGCTTACGGTCATATCACGTCGAAACATCGGTTCCCGTACTATCACCAAAGTTAAGGAACGTCGAGCCTTGTTGGTATTTAGTTGGGTGACCGCTTGGTAATACTAGGAGAGAGCCGAGTTCCAATTCCAGTCGGGTTCGTTATTTTCACTTACGCACGAATGGCCACGGGAAATCCATTTCTTCTCCCCGACCATAGCTATTGTTTAATTAGTTAATTAAGATTATCTCCCCCAAATTCTTACAATCTGAAAATGCTTTATAGCTTTAAATAACCTGCAAAAAACAAATCAATATATTATGAGTGGCTCTCGAGCCTAAAACTGTGAAATTTAATAAAAAATAAAATGAAGAAAAAACAGGCATTCATTTTAACCATTTTAAGACGATTAAGAAGAAAAGAGACTATTTGGGGAATAGATTTGGAATCCTGAGATATTTATGATCAATTTGGTCTAATTTGTGTGCTTCCACCAACGTTAGTGGCTTCTGTTGTAATTAAAGAATATCAGCCATTTCTTTTTAACCGAAATTCAAATCATGACGGAGAAGGAAGGCGTCTATGATGAAGACTAGAATGGGAATCCTAAGACATTTGGATTCATTTTGGTCTGCTTTGTGTGCCTCTAAAATTAAATCTGTTGCAATTAAAGAAGAACAGGCATTTCTTTTTGGCTGACCCTCATATCATGATAGGGAAGGAAGGAAAGTCTCTTGAAAACTAGAATGGGAATCTTGAGACATTAGTATTCATTTTGGTCTGCGTTGTGTGCCTCTAAAATTAAATCTGTTGCAATTAAAGAAGTACAGGCATTTCTTTTTGGCTGACCTTCATATCATGATAGGGAAGGAAGGAAAGTCTCTTGAAAACTAGAATGGGAATCTTGAGACAGTTGTATTCATTTTGGTTTGCTTTGTGTGCCTCTAAAATTAAATCTGTTGCAATTAAAGAAGAACAGGCATTTCTTTTTGGCTGACCCTCATATCATGATAGGGAAGGAAGGAAAGTCTCTTGAAAACTAGAATGGGAATCTTGAGACAATTGTATTCATTATGTTCTGCTTTGTGTGCTTTTACCATTTTATTTGTTGTAACTCGTATTCTTTTTTTTTCTTTTTCGCAAGTACAAACTGTTTCGTTTCTTAACTCCTATTTTTTTTTTCTGATTAAAGTGCGCGCCTTGGGAACAAATGTTTCAGGTGTCTATGACAGTGGTCCCGCTGTTTGCCAATCAGGTGAGTTAACGTACGTATCCTCAACTTCTTAGAAACCTATCTCGTTAACAACGGGCTTGTCGCTTTGGTAGTCTAATTACATTGTATTTAAACTTCTCTTGTCAAAAGCTAGACAGTATTCGCTAACCCTGTAACGGAGAGAGAAAGGGGGAGAGAGAAAGAGAGAGAGAGAAGGGGGGATTCGTTATTTAATGAAAATGTGTGAGAGAAAATATCAATTGGGAGGTTGAGATGCAAAATAATAATAAAAAATATGGTCGTAACTCCAAAAGTCATAATGAGTTTCTAAATGCCTTCCAAAATCTAAGCAAAGTATAAAGGAACAGGAAAATTCCGTTAGAAACAAAGAAAAGAGTACTGAATTCTTATGTAATGTCAGTCCTACTATATAGGCAGTGAATGCTGCTCGGAGACGAAGAAAAGACTTGAAGCGACAGAAATGGGTTCTACAGAAAGATGATTAGGATTCCATGGTAGAAGAAGCAGGAGAGCAATGATAAAATTTTGCATAATAATAGAAACGAAAAAGAAACATACTTATCATTAGGAAGAGAGAGTTGAAATTTTGAGGAAAGAGGGCTTAGAAAATTAGATACTCACAGGACATACTGAAGGCAAGCGGTACAAAAGAAAATATAAACATAACATACTTGGAAAGCTTGAGTAAATGGATGACAGATCCGGGTTTAGAAGAGATAACAAAAAGACAAAACTTATTAAGAGCTACAAAGGACGTGAAGTTGTGGCGAGCCATGACCGCCAACGTCCTGAAGAGGCACGGCACAGCACATAGAATAATTATAATAATAAGTTCAAAGTAATATATATATATATATATATATATATATATATATATATATATATATATATAAATCAGAGGGGGTCAAAATATGTGTCACAAAATTGTAACGCACCAAGATGAACATTCAAGAAATATGACGAATTATGCAAATGAATAACCCCAAATTTGCGTTAGACTGTTTAAGCTACCAAAAGATGATTACAAGTCAAAATATACATTTACCTATGTCGGATTGAGGAATCGGAGAGCCGAGTTCGAATTCCAGTCGAATCCATTACATTCACTTATCTGTTGATACCCTTGGGAAAGGTATAAATCCTCTTCTTCTCCCCCTAGCTATGGTTAAATAGCAGGAGAAACCGGATTCTATAGCCTTGGATGGTAGTTGGTCTACCGCAGAAAGAAATGGCAACCTACTGCGGGAAAAAAATCTGCCTCGTCAGTCATGTATCGGAAGATAGATGAACCACCTAAGCGTGTATCACGTATGGCATATAACTGACTGACTATGGATAAATAGCAGGACAGACCGGGTTCTATAGCCCTGGATAGTAACTGGTCTACCGCAGAAAGAAATGGCAACCTACTGCGGGAAAAAAAATCTGCCTCGTCATTCATGTATCGGAAGATAGATAAACCACCTAAGCGTGTATCACGCATGGCATATAACTGACTGACTATGGATAAATAGCAGGACAGACCGGGTTCTATAGCCCTGGATAGTAACTGGTCTACCGCAGAAAGAAATGGCAACCTACTGTGGGGAAAAAAAATCTGTCTCGTCAGTCATGTATCGAAAGATACATGATCGCCTACGCGTGTATCACGGATGGCACATAACTGACAGACATTCATGAATAGACTTATAATATAAATAAAATCAGTACGGAATAAACAAGATAATAGAAAATAAGGTAAAATTAAATTAAATAAGGAAACAATATCAGAAAACTTCTGTCCTTTCCTCCACTGAAAACTTTCTACTCGTATTGGGAGACGAAAAACAAATAATCAGTGGATAAAATTCCAGAGTTCAATCGGAGACGTTAGGAATATAAATTTGGAGTATATATTTGAAGAAACCGGAAACTTATTCCTAAACAGGAAATAAGCGATAAAACTCTACACTCTTATATTACCAGGAAAAAAAAAGTTGTAGGCATTAAATAACCCATTGAGGTTGAAATGCAGTTAAACAAACCAAATCAAACCAAACCTTTCTAGGTGTAGATAGATTCGTCTATCGTCCGGTTCACACTCCTCACCAGTCTTTTGTAAAGGTGTAAAGGTTTGTCCCTTGTGTACTGTTTAAGGTTTCCGGTTACCTTCTACAGTTTTCTCATTCCCTTTCACTCCCGGTAGCTTTTTTGCAGGGCCAGCTAGTCTTAACCCTGAAACCCCCTACCGGAAGGGGCGGGGCGTTTTTTTTTTGGTGTGTGTGTGTGTGGGGGGGTCTCGTTGTGGTCTCTGCCATTTTTTTTCAGTACTGTTTTATGGCCATCTGCCATGTTCTAAAATTATTTTGAAACTGACGTTAGATTGTCAGTCATCAACTAATAAAATATACATTATCTGCATGGCCGGTGCAGTGCATACTAGGCAGGAGACCCCGACGAGGTTGAAGCCTTAAAAATGTTAGTTTCAGCAGCGCTTATTCCGCTTCTTGTACTTTTTTTCTACCTAAGTTATATTGTCAATCATCAACTATAATAATCGACAGGGCCGGTGCTTACTACCCCGAACCTCTCAACCGCGCGGGATCCCTATGTCTATTGGGATGAGGGGTCAAGAGTGTTAATTTCAGTAGCGCTTATTTTTTTAAATTGTAATTTTCTTTTAAATCAATTTATGCATGTATTTTGCTATGAATCTTATTAGAGGAAACATTTTTTGAGTTTTTTTGGGGGGGGAGGGAGTGGGGGGGCATGACAGGATCAGGTGAAAGAAACGACAGTAAGAGACGCTAAAAACTACGGATCAATGTAAATGTAAATTGCGGATTATCTGATTCGTCAAACGTTGACGGAAAAGCCTACCACTAACCTTAAAAAACCCTGATTAACCCTAATTTTTCCGTCAAATAATCGGCAAAACAGCAAATACATAGCCCTGTCATGCGTTAGCGAAGTCTTTTAGCACCGGAGATGTGACGACAATTAAATTTTATGGAAATGTAAAAATTTGCGGTTTAAGCATTTTTTTTCGAGTAAAATTTAAACAGCAAAATAATGGTTATTATAAAAAGAATAACATTATCTCAGATTTTTAAAAAAAATGAAACACCTATTCATTATAAAAGTAAATAATTAATGAATATATACTGAAATTTTCATTTAAATTTCGGTAATTCCATGATCTTTGGTAATTTTAAAAAAAAGCACTGCTCTTCCTCCCCAATTTTTCCTTCAATGGTTTATGGTCCTCCGCTTGGGAAATTTAAAATCTTCATCTAGTAGAGAGGGGCGCTCTGTAAAAAAGTTTCGTTAAACACTACTCCATGCTGAGGCAGTCATGTACCCACAGCATTTGCCACAAGAATGGCTCCAGATCTAGAATGATATGATACTGACTACAGTATTATAAACGAAAGAATGACTTCTGCAGATGCAGTATTTTTGTGTTTGTCTATAAATATTGATATTTCTTTGCTGCGTTTTCATATTACAGATGCTGAGTGTGAGAGTCAATTCGTAGATTTGGAAAAGGCATGAACTCCAATGACCCTCCGGTGTCACTGCCAGTCATTTGGTGTAATGAAGGATGAAACAATTTCGATACTGCGCAAGTTCTTTTCACTGCTGCTACAAGCCACATAACAGATTGACCTGTAAAAAAATTATCGCCACCAAAAAAATCAACCCTATGGGGATCACTAATTTTGTAATTAAACGAATTTTCTCGTTTAAAACGGGGTACCGGAAATACCTTCCACGTTCTTGGATTCGAATCTGGTGAAGATGTCTAAAAGGACTTTGGTTTCAACGGGTTAATGAAAATATTGAAACTGTTTAATTTATTGCTATACAGCATTTGCATACGCTTTTTGAGTTTTATATATCTTAGCTGGAGCAAT